TGAGTTTTCATATTGCATAAGGCAAATCACCTTGATCAATGGAAAGTACATTGATATGTAAGGGTGAACTGCTGAACAACTTGGAAGACATGGTAGGCACTTGTGCTGCCAGGTGGCAAGAAATTGAGATTGAACAAGTTCAGTCCATATGAGTTTGGATTTGTCACAAACATTGTCTTATGATTATGGTTATGATAAATTCACATGGATAGGAACACATACGCCATCAAATCTAAGTGTCATAAGGTTCTCTCCATTTCATGAAAATGATTGTGAGGAAACGCTTTCACTAAGAGAGATTATAAGGAGATAGCGATTGTGTAAATTGTATTCTCAAATTCGATTATGAATACGACATCCCTCTTCATAGTTCGAATTGTGAGATTTGGCAATTAGTTTGAACAATTAAGACTTATTGCTGTAAGTTCTGAAATTGTTTAGACACACATATAAGGTTTCTAGTAAAAGGTGTATAAGCTTAGATAAAGCTTATCAAAACGTCTCGTATTAGAAATATGAACTTTGGTTAAGGAAGTCAATAAGTATTGATTTCTAGAAGTACAACTGATTTCTGAATACATGTCAAAGCTAGTGGGAGCATAAGTGTTATGCTGGTAAGAAAATAATTATCATGTTAGTGGGAGCATGATTATTATGTTAAGTGTTGCAAGCTAGCAATATTAATTATAGAAAACAAAAGTTTCAATTCGCAAAGTTGCAGAGGTTGAAAGGTTGTTTTGCTATAATTAAGGGAGAGAATATCATACTTCATTTCAAATCTAAAAGATTAGATCAAGAAATTTTAATCAAATTTAGTCAAAGGACATATATAAATATTTTGATTAAAAAGATTCAATATAAGAGAATTCTATATATGGCAATATTATGGCAAGAGACTGGTAAAGTATCACGTTTCCATTGCGTATTGTATCCCATGCGCTTCGGGTATAGGATCGATTGCATATGCTGTAATATTCAACCGTTTCTGATTTTCCAAATGCTTAGGGCATTAAGAGGGAAAAAGGAGCAGAACCGAATATGACTAAAATAATTAAACAACTGTCAAGGACGATCTGAGGTTCGCTAAGGATTGGTCACTTGTGGGCAGTTGGAAGTATAGTAATGGATGGACCATATCGACGTTATTATGAATAGATAGGATTCAATTAAGAATGAGTTGTAATATGGAAGATATGGAAATGTTTCTATAATGGGAGTTAGATATTGAGAACCTATGTAGATTAGAAACTTTTATGCAGGAAGGATGTTCAAAGGAATGTGCTTTGAATGTGAGACTTCATATCTATGGAGCTGTCTTGTAACAATCTCCAATAAAGCACTTTGTAATTTCATTGGCAAAGTCTTGGTGACTTTGGTGCTATGACATTACAAAAGGATCATTGCATAAAATGTTAGAATCTAACATATTCTAATAGTGGCAAGAATTTGGTATTCTTACACTTGCGATAAGGATTAGGAATTGTGAAATGAACGTCATTGGAAATTTTTTCTATTGATCTATTTTACAAAGTAAAGACCATAGGTAAACATAGTGTGCATGCTTGGAGCATGGGACAACTATTGTTATAATTCAAGTGTTAAGTTCATTAACCGAAACATTATACAATGAATAATGTGTAATCAATATGGTGATTAAGTAATAAGTGTTTTATTTATACTCAAAAGTTTAAGACCACATTGGATTTGATTATTCTTGTGTTTCACTTTGCATGTTTTGACTTCCCGAATAACTAGGGTATTCAAATATCCACAGCCGATCATACGTCGGAAGTAAGTATTGAGGCAAGACTGTCATGAATCCGTCTGTAGATTGTCTAAAGTTTTAGACATAACACAAATTTGCTGCAGAGTTCATGAGTGCTCCTGAAATAAGATTTGAGTATTGGATTAAACCCACGCTCACTTGAATCACTTCATGGATTTTATCACGAGTGATTAGTGAGATGATAATATATTATATTCTTGAAACCTAGAGATATGAGTTGCAGTTTACAAGTCGGTTGCGCATTGATAATACGTAAACGCACCAGTAACTTGGTGTTATAAAACGTATTGTTGTGTGTTATTTGATGAGTAGATAGAGAAAGCATATGATTCGAAGTTTATCCATTCCTTTTACTCAAAATTGGTTAAAAGCGATATCTGTGGGCCCCTTGATGATTTAGTGATGACACCCTAAGCGCTTGGCCAAGCCTGGACTAAGTTGATGTGTTCAATTGTAGTCTGTTGTCAGTCGTCATAAATCGGAAATCGGGAAACAACACATGAATAGAGAGAATGATTATAATCCATGTCTCAGTTCATACGGTATTTTGTAGAATGGAGGAATATATGATCCCCTATCTAAAGGACGCGCTTCTGATAAGATCAGAGTTGACAACGACTTTTGAAAGCTACGATTGCTAATCGGGTTCTGAAGTCGTACTTGCAAAATAGTTATTAGACTTATCCAAGTGGGAGACTGTTGGATTAGGTGTCTAAGCCCATAACTATTTTGGTATGTACTTGACCTGATTATGAGCATGGTCCTTTTGGGTTGCCTTCACTCATGCAACTTGATAGGATGACAAGAGGAGAGAGTAGAATTTATTTTGTGAATAATAAATTCATACTCAAAATGGTTTTATTAATATATTATTTGGGAATCATATTATTTAATTAGTATTGATCAGAAATTAATTTGGAATTAATTTAGTGGTCAAAAGAGACTGAGTAAATAATTGGGGACTGTTATGCAAATCATTGATAGTTGCATAAATGAGCTGATAGACTCCATAGAGTGGAGTGGACGAAATTTATGGGGAAGCCCATATGATTTCGTCCAAGGGTTCTAAGGAAGGAGTCCATGGGATGCTTGTTGCCTAAGTTAGGTATTAGGGTTTCCACCTGAAAACCCTAGCAGCCACAACTATATAAAGGACCCCATACAAGGGGATTTTCGTCCAAGCTTTATGAAACCCTAAGAGTGGCAAAAATCCTTCTCTCCTAAAGTCATATTCTTGCATGAGTGTTTGTGACTCCATTAGAGGTGCAACACTTGGGGCACTAAGCTTTCACAAGTCAACATCAAAAAGGATTATGATTGTTATTGCTATATAACAATCAAGGTAAAGTTTCTAACTTGTTTATTATGTCAATTTCGAAATAAGCATGCTAGTTCATAGGGTTTATTTCTTTGGTATTCAATGTTGTATGTTTAATTTAGAAAAACCTAGATCAAAGCAATTAGGGTTGCATGAACACCATAGGATTGATGTTATGCACATAACCCATCAAAAATATGGGTATAAACATCAAGATTCAAACTTGGAGTCCAAAACTTGCACCAAAATCCAGATCCAAGGGTCCTAACACAGCAAATGACTCAATGGTCCATAAAGTTGCAAACTTTATAGACCTCATGCATGATAATCCAAGATCCCATGCAAAGAAGGTAACCATAACCTAGATCTAGCAAGATTAGAAGAGAAAGGTGGTATCTTTGAGACTTACAGAGGCTTATGAACTTAGAAATGCCACTAGGAGGAGCTTATCACATCCAAAGGAACCTCCACAAGAGCTTCGTCTTCTCATTCTTCAAGGAAATCCACCACTATAACACACCAATACCACAAACAATGGCTCAAGGGCTCAAGAAGGCCGAATCTATGGTTTTTCAGTGACTTGGGAGTGAAGGAGGCTGAGGATGGACGACCCTAGCCTCCTCATTCTGTTTTATACCCGATTTTTAGGGTTTAGGATCATCATGCATGACTCACGTCGTGAGGTCTTATGCCTCACGTCGTGAGGTCCGGGAACACGGGTCAAACAGTCAAGGGTCCTACTCATGTCGTGACCACTATGGCTCACGTCGTGAGCCTCTTCCAAATGCAATTAAAATGCAATTAATATTTTTAATACCTCAGAACGCGGATGTTACAGAATTACATGTGATCACAATATATAAACACTTTATTATTTATTTGTCATGAATTGAAATAATCATATATGATTTTCTTATAATACATGTATTTGTTAATCTCAAAAACCAATAAAGAGACTACTACTAAAAATTTTACAAAAGCAACAGCCAGAAGAACAAATCAAAATGGTAACACTTAAATCATTCAATAATCAGTTGTGATTCATATATTTTACGCGTATAATCAAATATGATTTTCTAATTATATATGTATTTTTTTTCCAGAACAAAACAAGGAAAAGCCTACAAAGTAACAACCTACCGAAACAAAAACAATAAGAAAATCACCACGAAAGAAAGTTGAAAATGTATATTTAATCACATGTGATTAAAATTGACTTTGTCATTTTCTGATTATATATGTATTTTTATATCTCAGAAAATTCAAAACAAGATGACAAAAAGGGAAAAAAAGCAGAGTGTAACAGAAGAAATAGAGAGAACAACAGAAGAAAAAAATGAGAAAAGTATTATTCAATCACATATGATTATACACATAAACATAACACACTATGTTTTTAACCAAATGTGATTACCTACTTTTATATGCAAAAAACATGATCAATCACATGTGATTAACATCAATCAATAACACTTTAAGTTTTATTATAATAACATTGTTTTATCGATTGTGATTTATATCTATATTTATATGTTTCAGGAAAAACTAAAAGAAAAGAAAAAGGAGTGATTGAAGAAGACACAACAGGAAAGAGGTCCAAACAAAAACACGATAAAGGTATAATAACATTGTTTTATTGATTGTGATTTATATCTATATTTATACTTATTTATTATTGATTTGCTTACACATATGAATTTGATTTCAACTATCGTACTATTTACAGAAGAAAAACATAGGAGAACTGAGGAAAAGAAGGAGAGAGGTATAATTCAATCACATGTGATTTACATATATTAATAACAATATGTCCAGTCACATGTGATTAAATATATATTCGTAATAATTTATTCTTTTTAATCATTTGTCTCTCTAAAGGAAAAGGAAAATGAGAAAATGAAGAAGACACAACATAATGAAGCTCTAAGTGAAAACACGACAAAGGTATAATTCAATCACATATGATTATAATATGTATTTAAATTACATAATTATTAATTATTACTTCATTATTAAAGCTTGTTGGTCAATTATAAATGTATTAATATATGATTATTATTTTCATAACAGCTGAAAAAAAACCGAGTCAAGGAAGAGAAAAGCCATAGCTTCAAAAACAAAAGATCAACTACTTGATGAAAATGAAGAAGATTCTGATTCTGAAACAAAAGAGATAAAGGGAAGAAAGAAGAAGATAGTAAAGAAGCATTTTGATACAATCAGAAACAGGTATAACTTTGTGATTAACAACTTTATACAAAAAAATAATTTTATTAAATCATATGTGATTTAATAATAACTTTATTAAATCACATGTGATTAATATCTTTTATATATGAAAAAAATCAATCACATGTGATTATACAAAAACGATAATTTATTAAATCATATATGATTCAAAAATTAATCACTTCTGATTCTTAAATAATATTATTAATCATATATGATTCAAAAAATGAATCACCACGTGATTAATATCTTTTATATACGAAAAAAATCAATTACGTGTGATTATACAAAAATTTATTAAAACATATATGATTCAAAAATCAATCACTTGTGATTATTCAAAACATATTTCATGTCTTTTTCAGTTAACACACATGCGATGAAATTATAAAACATGTATAATAACTTTATTAATTCTTATTATAACATATGAATTAAATTCATTAATTGATATATTTGATGATAGGTGTACACCTGGAGCTTTGTTATCTGTTATACAAGGCTTCAATGAAGTACAAAAAGATTGTGTGAGACAGATGGGTTTTACGGGGATATTAAAGATGAAGATGATAGAGGTCACAGGGGCCTTAAGCTGCTTTGTTCTTAAGAATTTTAACTCAAAGACAAAGAAGATAGTTTTTCAAAGAGCAGTGATTGATGTCACCAAAGAATCGGTGAAAGAAATTCTTGGATTTCCTTTGGGAAGAAAACAGTTTTCAAAACTTCCATTCAGAACAAAAGAAGATAAATGTTATGAATAATGGACAAACCAGTTTAAGGACAAGAAGATGATTCGAATTCAAGATATAAAGATGAAGATTGTTTCCACCAACAAGGCAGATATGAATTTCAAGATGAATTTCATAGCTTTGTTGATCAACTCGCTGATAGAGTCAAGCTCTTCAGGAAAAGCAAACACGAACCCATTGAACTACATAACAAGCAAGACAAAAATAAGCAACATCAACTGGTGTTCTTATCTGATAGATTGTTTGGTTACAAACAAACAGTCTTTTGATCCATCCAATCCAACAAGCAATTTTAATGGACCATGTGCTTATTTGGTGGTATGTTTAATATCTTTTATTCTATTTAAATCTATTTAAAATCACATATGATTTTTATTTATTTATAACATATGTTCTAACATGAGTATCTATAATCACATGTGATTTGAATGTCAGATTCTTAAATCACATATGATTGTAAAATCATATATGATTAATAGAATTTGTTACAAAATTAAAACATGAATAACTATAATAACATATGATTTAGAAGTATATTTTTAAATAAATTTAAACATGAATAAATATAATCACATGTGAATTTAAAAGCAATCTCGTTAAATCACATATAATTGTAAAATCATATATGATTATTAATGTTTGTTACAAATATTAAATCACATGTGATATATAATAATAATTTTTTTGTTTTTTGTTTTTTGTTTTTTGTTTTTTTTACTAGTTGCTTTATCTAGACAAAATCAAATATGATGTACTTAAGTCCAGTGATCTGCCACTGGACTTCAGAGAAGATAAAGATGAGAGAAACTTTTGAAAAGGATGAGCTTGGAGATTTTGGAACAGGGGATTTTAACGATGAGTTTGTCGAGAAAGAATTGAATGAGGAGGTAAATTTAATTGCAACAATTATATGAAAACTTATCATTATTTACTAAGATCTTAAAATTTTAATTATATATATTAATATATATTTTAATTCATTTATTATGTATGCTTATGAGGAAATGGTTATGATTAAGTATAGGAAGTTAGATTTGCTGATTGAAGATGGAATAAATAAATTCCCAGAAAATATAACCTTGAATCATTTGCAAATTAGTTTTGATGTAATGTTTGAAGATGAGAATGAAGATAATCAAGAAAAAAAATGGGAATGATGATGTTCAAGATGAAAATAGTGATGATGATGAAGATGACAATGGAGATGATAATGATGAAGCAAAGAAAAAGAATGTAGGAGGGGAAAATATTGAAGGAGGTAATTGTATTTAAAAAAAATCTCTATAAAACCACATGTGATTGAATACTTATCTTAAATGCAGGTATAGGAGAAGGAAATGAGAATTTTAAAGGAGGAGAGGAACAACAAGGAAAAAATAAAGATGGGGGAGGTGAAGATATTGAAAGAACAGGTAAGTAATATTTTACTTAATCATATATGATTGTTAAAAATAACTTTTTACAATCACATGTGATTAACTACCAATTTTTATTATATGCAGATGGTGAGGAAGATGAAACTGATAATAAGGATCAAGGTTTGGATGACATGAATTTACATGATGAAGGTGTTGAAAATGATAAAGGCGGCGATAATGAAGAAGAACAAAATGATAATCAAGAAGAACAAAATGTTGAAGGATGAGGTAAATAACAATATAGATTAATAAAGTAGATATGATTACATATATTATAATCAAATGTGATTACATATATTATAATAACATAAAATTCTAAAGGTATGTTATCATATATAATTATAATGTATGTAATCACATGTGATTACATCCACAAATTATTAATAATTTTTTTTAATTGTATTCAGGTGTGGAGGGGAAGAATATAGAAGGGAAGAATGCTAAGAAAGGAGAAGGAAGAACTGGTGAAGAACCACAGAGAGTTGGAGAAGGTAAATATGATTACATATATTTGTAAAATAGATATGACTATAAATTATAAAATAATATTTTGTTAATCACATATGATTACATATGTAATAATCACATATGATTACATATGTTGTAACACATGTGATTATAATCACATATGATTATATTAAAAATAACAATATAATATATTTGTACATATACAATAATCACATATGATTACATGTCTTGTAATCACATGTGATTATTATCACAAATGTTGTAATCATATGTAATAAAAATCACATGTGATTATATTCACATAACAATATAATATCTTTGTACAATATTTTTTTAATCACATATGATTACATATATAATAATCACATTTGGTTACTTAATATATAATCACATTTGATTAAATACGCTATAATCATATGTGATTACATACATTGTAATCATTTGTGATTACATATATTACAATCACATTTGATTATAATATTAATATTTTTTTTAATTATATTTAGGTGTGGAGGGGAAGAATCTAGAATGAATGAATGCTAAGAAAGGAAAAGGAATTACTGGTGAAGAACAAAACATTGTTAGAGAAGGTAAATATAATAATATATTTCTAAGTTACATATGACTATAAAATTATATGATTAAATATGTAATAATCGCATGTGATTACGTACGTTAAAATCACATGTGATTATATTCACATAACAAAATATAATGTATTTGTACAATATAATTTGTTAATCACATATGATTACATAAATGTAATAATCACATATGATTAAACATGTTATAAACACGTGTTGTTACATACCTTATAATCACATGTGATTATATTCACATATAAATATAATATCTTTGTGTAATTTATTTTTTAATCATATATGATTAATAATTTTTTTTAATTATATATCAGGTGTAGAAGGGAAAATTTTAGAGGGGAATATTGGTGAAAAGAAAGAAGGAAAAAGTGTATATATATATATATATATATATATATATATATATATGAAAAAATATCTTTGTACAGTCATACTACATCCGTCCCAAATTATTTGTCCACATTTGACTTTTGAAGTCTTTATTCTTCAACTTTGACCTTAAATATTTTTCTTTTTGATAGATAATACTTTATGCAAAATATATGAATGGATTGAATTTTAAATATATTTTTATTTTTATAAGTTTCATCAAGTAATATATAACACAAATAAAATATTTAAGGTCAAAATTGAAGAAAAAAGATTTCAAAAGTCAAAAGTGGACAATTAATTTGGGACAGAGGGAGTATATGAAAACTAACATATTTTACTTATATGCAAAATTGATAGGAATAAATGTTGTTCAAGGAGAAGGTACCGATCATATTTATCTGATAAAAATATTGTATTGAAAGACAATTACCTTTTATGTATTAATTAATTTAAATTATGTTGTATGTAATTTGTAGAATTTAAAAATCTTTTGATGTAATTGATAATCACATATGATTAAATCTTATGAAACGTTTCTTTAATTATTGTCTATAAATGTTGATATGTTTTAGTATATTCACGTATGATTATTGAAAAACATATCAATATTTATCTATAATCACATGTGATTATATAATTATAACCGCATATAATTAAATGATTAAAATCACTTACGATTATAATCACTTATGATTACATGTTCAAACGACTATACTAACTTATTATACTAATTAAATATCTACAAAAACTCTTCCGTGGACAACATTTGTTCCTATATAAACATATTATTTATAAAATGTTAATATGTTTTAGTATAATCACAAGTGATTATTGTGCCTATATAACTAATCACATGTGATCATAGTTTGTGGCGGCATGGAAAAATTGCCCAAAAAAGGAAAATTTATTGGTGGGTATTTACTACAAGACGATTTGATGTCTGTGGAAAGCAATGAACGATAGAACTTTCAATCAAATTCGGATTACACCAACAAAGGCCGTGGACATAGTTAAGTCGATGATGTTCATTTGGTTCAAACACAAGAGCATTAAAGAAACATATAATTGGATAGATCGGTGTATTAATCCACTCATGTAACAGTCATAGTAGGAGTGTTCTATCTTAATATGTTGTGGTGATGTCTTATGATTTGTTTGGTTTTGTTATCCTTTTCCTTGCCTAATTGTTTGCTAAGTCGGACTATTTTTCTTTTTTTTCTCTTCTTAATAAAATTTGTTGATTAAAAAAAAAGATAATATTTAGTAGGGGTGTTCGTTTGGATGGATCGGTTTGATCCGATCCAATTAAGTAAATCCAAATTGATTTCGGTTTTCTAAATATAGATCCGAATAGTCTAAACTAAATTTAAATCGGATCCGATCCAATCCAATTACAATTCTGTTGGATCGGTTTTCATAATTCGGTTTTCAAAAATCGAAACATTTTAAAATGACATATAATTATAACATTGTCCAATTTTTACACAAGAAGTAAAACAAATTATTTAGTTGTAATTTAAAATTTATAAACAACTACTAAGAAGATATAGTTTAATATTTTATATATAATTTTTTTTGAGAGAAAATGCATATTAATGTTTTTTATTAGGTAAAACTTTTTGAACTTATCTGAAAAAATAAATTATAAAATCAATAAATAATTATAGATATATTAAAACTAAATAAATAATAAATTTTTATTCAATTTTTTTGGACTATTCGGTTATTATTTTATAAACCAAAACCAATACGAAATCCAAAACAATAATTCGGTTTTTTTGAAAACCAATCCAAAATCCAAATATCTGAACCAAATAGTCCAATCCAAATTGTTCAATCGGACAATTCAGTTTTATCCAAATAGAACAGCCCTAGTATTTAGTAAGCTTTGTGTCAAATAATGAAAATAATTCAAAAGATAATCCATGTGGTAATGTGATTTTAATAATATTTAACCAACTTATAACATCAATATCGATCATAATTCATTAGCAAGGACCAAATGTCTAATTTAATATCGGGAAAATGACTCTTAAGGGTAATTAACTTTTGCGTTTGTACTCATTTGGTCCCTTTCCTTTTTTTGTATTCAATATACCATCGAACTTGTTGTTTGTGTTCACCATAACCCTTTTGACCGGCTTTTGACCTGTGATAGCCGGTCAAAGGGTTATGGTGAACACAAACAACAAGTTCGATGGTATATTGAGTATAAAAAAAGGAAAGGGACCAAATGAGAACAAATGCAACAGTTGGTTACCCTCCTGATTCATTTTCCCTTTACTCATTTACAACAAATCCCACGTCATCTCCTACTGATATTAATGACTTTATGAGATTCATTCTTGTTTCTCTTCAAAACATAACCCACGAAAGAACATTATTCATACATGTACAACTTTGTAATGCACTTGAATATTTATTAGGGGAATCTTGACTAAGCAGACGCATTTCATCACTACATTTACATTTCCAATCAAATGATTTATCGTATCATGGATTCGAGACAAGCCTACAAACGAGTGGAATCACAAGTGCTGTTATTTTTGAGTTTACTTAGCTTTAAGATCGAATTCATGGGATAAGATACAACATCAATATGTACAATATCATGCTGCTTTTGTAGACACATCACCATAATATACCTTGAGGTAAACGTTTATGCTGATAAATATACCTCTCATACACAGTCATATCCTTTTGCAGAGAGGTGTTGACAGCTAACTACAGTAAGCATAGCATAGACCATGTTTTAACGAGGTTATCCCTATGAAACGCTCTTCATATACGTTATAGCCAAAGAAGGTTGCAGTTTTTGATAATTTTGCAACTTTAATTTCATTTAACTTTTCGGGGGAAATGACTCGGGAGGGTAACCAACTGTTGAGTTCGTTCTCATTTGGTCACTTTCCTTTTTTTGTACTCAATATACAATCGAACTTGTTGTTTGTGTTCACCATAACCCTTTGAACGGCTATCACAGGTCAAAAATCGGTCAAAAGGGTTATAGTAAACGCAAACAACAAGTTCGATGGTATATTGAATACAAAAAAAAAATGGACCAAATAAGTACAAACGCAAAAGTTAATTACCCTCAAGAATCATTTTCCTTTTAATATCCTACGACCAACGCACAACACACACCATGGGAATGGGAAGGAAACAAAGCGTTCATAGTTTTTTTCTCAAGTATTAATCCGACGGCTAACATTCGATCTACCGACAACACTTAATTTTATCACATGGTTTGTGCGTTGCGTTTACCAAACCTTCCCCAACCTGCCGACACGTGTAGTTACTCATATGAAGATGGCAATCCCGTAATAAAACACCAACTCATGACCATTTTGAAAGGAGTCCATTTATATAAGTAGAATAAAAAAAATCTAGATTCACTCTCTCATCTTCCGGGTTTCACATCCCAGGAGATAAAAGGTACCTTCTTTTTCTCTCACTTCATCTGCATCTTTACCTTTACCATCCCTAAATCTAGGGTTCTTTCTAACGACTAAATTTTGAACTGATCTGCAGACGTATTTTTCGCCATCTATCCCGCACCTTCAGGATCCGATCCTATTTTCACTACTCCAACCTCATCCAGGTTTGTCTTGTTATTACTTTCTGATGCTGTATTCCATTAAATAAATCTCTTTCTAAACAATTGATATCTCTCTCTCTCTCTCTCTCTCTCTCTCTCTCTGTCTTCTTGGATCTACTTGATGATGTTCTAATTCCATGCTTCTGTATTGCAAATCTTTAAATCTCTTTTGGGTTTTGATTTTGGGAAATGTACCTGGTTGTCTTCTAGTGCGTTCGATTAGAATTTTACGAAATGGTAATTGTTTTTGTATACAAATTTAAACTAGAGTCTTCTGATTATACTTAATGTTATGTTGGAGCTTATCAATACGCCGGGTCGTTGTCCCTGGTATTTTTTTTGCTCTCAGATGCAGTTTGTTAGGGTTTTGTTTTGACAAATCGGTTATGATGCTTGAAATTATTATTAATTGTTTGGAACATGTACATGATTTTGCAGCATGGAGAATATGCAGAGTTATTGGCAATTGGGAGATGAACTTCGAGGACAATCAAAAGTTTCGGAGGATCAGCTATGGTATGCAGCTGCTTCAAGATTAGCTGAACAGACAAGGTCAAAGGGTGAACGAAGAAACAATTTAGATCTTTCAAAAGACACTACTACTACAAGGCCCAGAGAAAATGTGGTGTTTCAAGAGGAAAACAAATTTGAAAGCCTCAACTTGAACATGTTAAATCTGAATCTGAATCTGGAGATGAACAAAAATCCCCTTCGGTACAACACAAATAACAACATGTATCAGAAGGGAAACAATAGAATTATGGAAAACAACATGACTAGTAGCAAGTATCCTGGAAACAGTCACAACAAGGATATCAACAACAACGATAATAACATTGGTAATGCTAATGCTGTTGCTGCTGCTGACAAGAGATTCAAGACATTGCCTGCAGCTGAAACACTCCCTAGAGATGAAGTTCTTGGTGGATACATCTTTGTCTGTAACAATGACACTATGCAGGAGGATTTAAAGAGACAGCTATTTGGTAAAAAAATATCTGATATCATTGGATCCATGTTAATATATGCAAAATATGCTGATGTATACTACTGTGCACAGGTTTGCCACCAAGATACAGAGACTCTGTTAGAGCAATTACACCTGGGTTACCTCTGTTTCTCTACAACTATACTACTCACCAGCTACATGGTATTTTTGAGGTGTGTGGATTTTAGAGTTGTTTGAATTGTTATATATATATATATATATATATATATATATATAATATAGTTGAAGAGTGTACCTAATATGTTATGTTAATGAGTTAGGCAACGACATTTGGTGGTTCCAACATTGATCCGAGTGCCTGGGAGGACAAGAAGTGTAAAGGGGAATCACGGTTTCCAGCCCAGGTCAGAATCCGAATAAGGAAAGTGTGTAAGGCATTGGAGGAAGATGCTTTTAGGCCCGTCTTGCATCACTATGATGGTCCTAAGTTTAGGCTTGAGCTCTCCATCCCTGAGGTATGTGTTCTGTAATTCTCCCTCTCATTATATATATATATATATATATATATATATATATATATATATATATATATATATATATATATCTTATAATTTGTTGTGCTAATTATGCAGACATTGGACTTGCTAGATCTGTGTGAACAGAATGGAGTGTAAGTTTTAGTTTCAGAGTGTTGTATTGTTTTAAAGTAAGCAGCAGCAGCATGCATTTTCGTCTTCATGGAGCTTCTGTATAAGCGTAAGCTTGGGTGAAGTTGTTTTGTGGGGAAGCCAACGTGAATAAAAAGTGATTGATATTGTTATTGTGTGGTAGCCAGCAGCTTTGTTTTGTGTTACTTTTAAATTTTAATAGCAGCAACAACCACCTAATCCTAATGGATATGCGACTTTACTTTTGTGTGTAATGAATGATATGACAAAAGATATATGATATAATTAGTATCATAAATCTTAATTCTAATTATGTTCCTTTGGTTTTGGTTTTGGTTTTGGTGCTTGTTTGAATTCCCTATATAATATTAACCAATCACATGCCAAATTATCCATCCATCCATTCATCATCCAACCACATGCCTTTTTTTATTTAAAAAGGAAAAAAAAATCAATGGTTCTGCCAACCAAGAATAAGTGGCTTTCGGTTTTCATTTCATGTTCCCGCACGTTGGATTTTGGAATACTCTTGGACCAAGTCAACATGAGGTGGAGAGGCTTTTAGAATTATGTACGAGTACCAATCTCCTTAAATCATGCTTGTTTGTCTCTACAAAAACAACCACCAAAACGTAAGACAAAAGGGATATTGTAAAAAAAAAAAAAAAAACTTCATATTGTTTTTTCTTTGCTTTTGCTTCGTAATTTTCTTTCACTTTTATAGTTTTATCTTTTGAACCTTCTATCATTGGTTCATGGATTTCATTAAAGTGAATCTCACATAAAAACCCTTACGCATGGTTCAGAGTTTCATTCCAAGAGATAAAGGAAACGAAATAGGAAGATTAGAAAAAGATCATTTCTTCATAGTTTCATTCCAAGAGATAAAAGGAAAGGAAATAGAAAAATTAGAAAAAGATTACTGCTTCTGAGTTTATTTATCGAAAAAAAAAAGAAAAAAAGAAAAAGAAGATTTGTTCTAATCTTCTTTAGAAATTGTCCCCCAATGTAATTAGAATGAAAAAAATCATTTTTTTATATATTTCTTTTGTGAACTCTAGAGCCTTAAAAACAGTGATAAAATAAAAGAAAAGTGAAACTAGGAACTGAATGAAAAAAAAAAAAAAAAACTACATACTTAAGATTTTTAAAATTTTCTTGACGATAAGTTTTGGGGCAACAGTTTATAGATTTCAGAACATAATCAGTTTTGCTTACGTACAGGTGCATTCAAATGTTTTGCTAAACTTGATTAAGATTTTATCCAATTCGATTTTCACTATATTATTCCCAGGTAACTTACCCCATGTTGAATGTTGCACTAGCTACTCACTTATTAAGGGGATGTTTGGGATTGAGTTTGAAAAAAAATTATAGATTTACATCATCAAAAAATCATTTTTCAAAAGTAATATTTTTCCTATTTTTCTAAAACAACTTATGACTTGAAAGAACAACCATAATAGTCATTTACAAGTCTTGGAGTGGGTGTGCTACCCTCATATTTGTTTGTCTAAAACTTAACAATCGATTAATTTTCCAGGTTAACAGTTTTTACTTAATCTTTAAAGAAATACCTATGAATTATTGCAACCTTCCACGAAAAGATGTAACATGGGAATTTAGTTAATATTCATCTCTTCACAAAGATTCACAAAACTGCTTAAAAGTAATGTTGATGAGAAGTGTTTGTGGGATCGTTGCCTACAATTAGAATGCATTTGGTTGTGGAAAAATTTCTAAAAAAAACGGAAATTTTGAAAACGCGTCTGGTTTGTTCAGTTTTCTAAGAAAATGAAAATTTTTAGTTTTCTAAATTGTATATAAATTAGAAAAGTGATTTTTACAGTTTTCCAAATTTCTAAGATGGAAAATGAAAACTCCACCGGTTCCAACCAAACGCGTTTTCTAAAATTTTCATTGAAAACAGAATGAGAAGTCAACTCTATTTTCTAAAAACATTTTCTTAAAAAATGAAAACAATTTTTCACAACCAAACGCACTCTTAGCTTTACCAACATATGTGAATCGCCTATCTCGGTAATGAAGTTTCCATGCTATAATCGAGACATCTGAGCTATTTTCTTAGCATCTTTGACGCCCACAACTCAACTGCAACCGATTGATACTCAATCCAAACTTGTCCCATCAGGTTCTCCATTGAGGATGACAAACACTTAGCATATGATATGCCAGTCCAACAATAACATATATGTATGTTTCTTTATGTACAGAGTCCCACCTTAATGCCTTGAAATACATATTGTGCTACCAACTACGAGAATCACACACTAACACTTGTTCGTACTCGTACGTAGGGTGACAAATGCACCATTTTTGGTTTTGTAACCTCCTTGGTGAATTGTAATCACCTCTCACCAAAAGTACCCATTGTAAATAGTGACAATGTTATCCATGATCAATAAACAAAGCATGTCTTTGTTCCCAACAAGCTTGTTATAGGTCAAATTTGTGTTCCAAGACTTTCAACATGTGGAGATATTAACAACACACCTACTAACATATGTTGACCTCCGATGAAATTAAGCATGTGTACCTTTTGTATATTGTCTAGTTAGACTTGCATCTTGCAACCTAATACCAAATATTGTAGGATGTATGAATATTAAATTTATCAATGTCTCGATCTGAGTAGTCCAAAAATATCATCTCTTTGGATGTTGTCTTAGACAAAACTCATGCAACTACCATCCTATACTTGTTTCCCTTTCTTGTGTCCTCTAGTTACTACTTACTAACTGTAAGCTGCTTTCCGTTTAATTGCTTCAACTTTACAAGATCAAAACTTGTAGTTGTATTTGAGCCTTACCTCACAGATAATTTAGTAATTTACTAACAAGTTTGTTTCTTTTATTTGTCATTTTTGCTTCTCTTGTATTAGCAGAAGCAATAAGAAATTAATTTTCTTGTCCTCTCCATTAGTATCATAATAACAAACAAGGCAGGGGTAGCCTATGGAGTTAACAACAAACTACAAGATACATAATATAACTTCATATCATGGTGTGTATCTATTATCCCTTCTTACATAACACTGCTGACTGCTGAGATAAAAAGTAACAAAATATAACCTGGCTGTTAAATATGTTTTAGCATCAGAATACTACACGCCTTCTCATCCAATCCAATTCAATTCAAATCTAATCACATATTATAACATCATGTTCAAAAGAGAAGCAGCTAATTATTTATGTGCTTCCATGGACAACTGTAGCCGGCTTGTGATTCAGATACCTGATAACTGCATCTTCAACCCTATACCAGAAAAAGGCCCAAGCTAGTTTTGAGATTGTGAAGAAAATTATATGTTATATGAAGAAGAACATACCAGGGTTGATTGTAGAATTCAGCACGATGTTCTTTTTCAGCATTACGGCTTGCTTCACCAGCCAGAAGCTTCAGATCTCTCCCTTGAGATTCAATCAGGGCATCAATAAACTCAACAGGCGACTGACTAAATCCAAGAAAGAAAGCTCTTCTTTTCCGATGTTCATTAATCTTGCGTATTGATGTGCATATTGCTTCATCACAAGCTTCAATCTCTTTGGTTTTTTCAGTGGTGGCCAATAAAGCATTCAATTCCCTTTGTACAGGAAAAGGGACATCCACCAACACATCATAACAAGCATTTCCAGCTGGAATGTTTCCAGAGAGTTTGATCCTGTGCTCCAAATGGATAGGCTGTGGTGGAGATAAATGATGTGAAATCTTCTGTGAGACCATGGTGAATTTCATCTTATCCTCCCCGAATACTTTCCTAAGAGCTGGATCACAATTAAAATAGGAAGGATCATCTGCATTCTGTAACTTTCTAGCCTTCACATAATGCCAGATGGCAGCAATGATCCTTGAGCGTGTGTCCACTTCAATTCCAAGCACTTCCATAAGAGCTAAAGAAAGCTTGTACTTTTCAGGCATATAATTCATCTCCAACCGTATATTCGCAGTAAATTCTTTGTCCCCTTTTCTTTTCACCTCAAATCCTTCATGAGGTGTTGGGGTTCTGGAACTATCCCACAAAATCATATGATTATCAGGATACAGCCTCTGGTCCAATGAAATGGTAACTCTCTTGAAGAAAGATGAGAATTTAGGGTACATGGGGTTCGATTGCTGCATCATTCCAACTTGATCAGGATCCATTCCCTCTTCCAAGATTCTACCTATTATCTTCATTGTCCAAGTAGGTGGTTCATCATTCGCCTTCATCGGTATTTTACGGACTTGATTTGCAAAAGTGTTGAACACGTATATTCTAAGGGTTTTCTGAATGCAAGGAGGGTTCTTGATTGCTTCTTGGATGTCTATCTTCTTTCTTGCCAAAGCAGAATCCACACGGGACTCAAACTCAAGGAGCTGTGTGTAAAGAGCAGACTGTGGAAGAATTGCAGCCACTCTCTCTAGCAACTGCTTCTCTGGAAGTTTCTGCTTCTTTTTATGACGTGCAGCTGGTGTAAGCTCCATCATCCTCATGGGAGAAATGGTGTTGTTAGGATTCGACACCCCAGGTGGTCTTCCAACAGGTTTTTGAGGCATTCGTTTCATGCCAGGATTGCCTGATCCGGGAAAAGAGGGTGAATTAGTAGTAAAAGGTCCATGTGATTGATTGAGAGACATTCCTTGGGCCTGTAGCTGGGCTTGGAATTGGGCATGGTTGGCTTGAGCTTGGGCCATGGCTTGAGCCTGAGCTTTTGACTGTGCTTGAGCTATCGCCTGGGCATGGGCATGAGCTACAGCATACTGGGAGAGTTGAAACTGACTGGCGAAGGGAGATCCAGATGGTTGTTGGGGTTGGGACTGTGACTGGAGATGGGTGTTAGGGTTTGGTGGTAAAGAATTTCCGAAGGGGGTAGACACACCAGGGTTCTTTTGGGGATTATTGTTATTGACAGACATCACTTTATATAAGCACAAACCCTAACTCTTGCAAATGCCCAGCTCTTTACACCAGTTGCTACCTCAAATATATAAGAAGGTCTAAACTGGAAGTCGATATGAACTTCCAGAAATCCGAATAAATCCTCAACTTATGCAATGCCCTAAAAATAAAAAGCTCAAAAGGATGACACCTTGAACAAATTCGATTAGATTAAAAAAACAAAACACCTCAAATTTGAAAGCAGAATCATACCTGAATGATAGATACTTGCGAATGAGGGAGGCTGTAGACGGTTATGAAAAAATAGAAATTAAGCAAACGTTTCTGATGTATGCAAAATCATGGATAAAAATTGTAGCAGAGAGTTAAAAAGACCGAACAATGAAGAAGATCCGGCAGCAGATAGAAGCTCCGAGGAAGATGAATCCTTCCCTGTCACTAGCGTAATTAGGCTTTCATTTTCGAGATTGAAGACGGAGCTCTGCGACTTCCTTTTTGATATTTTCTATCTTTTTCCCCCTTTTCGCCATTTGTGACTTTGTGTTGAATATCAATTAAACCCCGAGAGATGTAGGGGTCCGGCCCGTTTTCTAAAACCGGGGTCCGGGGACATATCAAACGCCCTCCAAAAGGTTAAAACGGAGCCCCATTTATTATTACAACCAACATATAAGAAAATGAATTTATGCATTTTAGAGGTTAAAACGGAGCCCCATTTATTATTACAACCAACATATAAGAAAATGAATTTATGCATTTTATTAGTTAGGATAGGGTTGTGCTATAAATACCCCTTAACCAATTTTACCTTCTAACATCAATCAAATCAACTTTTTACTTTTGATTTGACATTATTATTATTATTATTATTTTTTCCTTTTTGTTTTTGATTTTTTTTCCTTTTATTTTATATTTTAATATTGTTACTATTAAATTCGGATTACATTTTAAAATTCGGTAAACATTATAAATTCGTACGACATTATAAAATTCGAACGACTTTTTTGTCCGTAATTAAAAAATATAAAAAAAATATTTAAAAACCAATTTTATATAGCCGTTTGAATTTATAGTGTCTTCCGAATGTTAAAATTTTGTGCGAAATTTATAATAATAATAATAATAATAATAATAATAATAATAATAATAATAATCAAAATATAATAATAATAATAATAATAATAATTAAAAACAACAAAAAAAAACAAAATAGGAAAAAAAACAAAAAAAAAACAACAACAAAAAACAAAAAATCAAATCAATAGGGGTGAAATTGGAAAATGAATGGGTACTTATAGAAAACCCCTTATGGATATTATTTTCTTTCGCCTTAAATGCTCTTAAATGCTCTGAATAACATTATTTATTAATCATAATAGTTTTCCAATTTGAATTTGAGTAATTATTTTTTATGTGATAATCAACTCAGAACAATGGATTTATAAAAAAAGTTTTTTTTTTTCATTTCCCAAGTTGTATATTTTCTTCCATGACATGAGAGATATTTAAATTCGTTAGACTAGGGATGTTATTCGGGTTGGAACAAAATCGAACCGACCTAAACCCGAAAACCGGATAAGGGTAATTGCATGAACCTAAAACCGAACCGATTAACCAATACGGGTTCGGTTCGGTTCGGGTATTAATCGGTTCGGTTCGGGTATTACTCGAATAGCCTAAATAACATGTATAAGATGATTAATGATCTAATATGTAACACTTTAATTTTTCAAACAAATTTTTTATTTTTAAAACCACATAAAACCCAATATCACATTTCTCAAAAACCCAAATGTATAAATTATGGGATAACTACAGTAAAGTCCTTATATTTTGGCAAAAGTTTCAAAAAAGTCCTAAATTTTTTTTTGAATGAAAAAGCCCAATAAATCGGATAAACCGGACAATTTAGCCCTTATCATCCGGTGACCCTCATTTAGCCGGTTACAAAAGTCTACATGGCATCTTAATGGTGAATGTATCGTTGACCTCATTAATTTAGGGTTTTTTAAGAGAACCCCTTTTCTCGTCTCCTTTATTCCCGACAAATCGATCGATCGATTCTGCTCGTGTCCTTTGGCGATGGATGAAGTATTTGAGCCTGACACAATCGACGTTCAAGTTGATGATTTTGTAAAAACCAAATCAGTTTCAAGATGCAAAGATGAATTCTTTAATGTTCTTTGTGAAGACAGTGATGACGAACCAGTGGAAGGTGAAGGACAGAATGCTCGAGTGGAAGTAGATGATGAGAAAAACACTGAAGAATCTAGTGATGAAGATGAAAAACACAACTAGCCAGTCAAACATTTGGCTTTGGTTAATATTACATGTTCTATGATAAACATGGTTAATGTATCTTTAAGTTGATTAACTTGTGTATGTTTATGTTGTGTTTGATTTGATTCTATTGTTTATGTTAATGTTGTGATTGATTACATTGTTAAGTTAATTGGAATTCCAACCATGTTTGATTCCGGTCATGCATGATTCCAACCATACTTGATTCCGGTGATGCATGATTCCAGTCATAAATGATTCCAATCATTATTGATTCCATTATTTATTAAACATGTTTGAATATATTCTATATTCATTCCATTGTTATTGATTCAATTCATTAATGATTTCATTCATGTTTCATTCCATTGATTGTTTATCCATTCTATCACTCATGATTACATTGGAAGCACTTATGACTCATACATAAACATAAACTTGTTAATTCATTTCACTTGACAAAAGGAGACAACATAATACATACTACACACACCAATTAAGACATTGATAGTACACTAACATACACAATCAAAACACATCAAACACACCAAAACACTACTTTCCATAGATCTTCTGTCTATCCTACAAATCCTTCAACATCACCAACACAAAAACAAAAGAAACCATGAACACATAAAAAAAGATTTCCATTTTCCACCTTCTTGTCCATTATGGACTTGAATGGCCACTCCTTCCACGGGTTGATTTGCCACTGGTGGTTGTGCCACTCGTTGTTCCACAATGTCCTCAAAAAAGTTCCCTTCAACTTGTTGTTGTCCATAGTCCCCGAAAATTGGATTGTTCTTCAAATTAACATTGTTGTGAAATTCTAGTAAGAGATTTGCATACCACTGATTTGGTAGAGGACGATCCACCCAATGGAAGAATTTGCAGTCTTTGAGTACATCCTGGTAATTTGGGCAACCTATAAACCTTCTTCCTGGGTTAAACGGAGTCCACGAAGTCCATTTTCCAACAGGATCACCGCAATAGCATCTGCTTCTCAGTCGATTCATCACTCTTCGATTTGAACTTATGCTTCCTACAGAAGATGAAGACGACATTTGTGGCTCCTCCTCCTGCTTCGATTTTTTCCTCGTCCGATTTTAGGGCATGAACGAATGAATGATGTATATATTTAAGTTTCGTTAATTGACTCACCATCCACCTAAGCATGCACAGTCCACGTAGACTTTTGTAACCGGCTAAATGAGGGTCACAGGATGATAAGGGCTAAATTGTCCGGTTTATCCAGTTTATTGGGCTTTTTAATTCAATTTTTTAGGACTTTATTGAAACTTTTGCCAAAATATAGGGACTTTACTGTAGTTATCCCTATAAATTATTCAAAAAAAATATCACAAAATGTTTGATAATATCCCAGAATCCTCAAAAACATAATCTCAAACTGGTGTGTACAATCAAGTCGGTGCCTTCCCGCGATCCTGAGAGGTACCTGAAACACATATCACACAACACTGTAAGGACGAAGCTTAGTGAGTTCCCCAAAATACCATGCACAAATAAATAGCCTCTCATGGCTATATCTCGATAAGGACCCTCCGGTCATGTGTCTCAGTGAAGACCCTTCGATCTCACAACTCGGGTCTGTCACACCCCAAACCTAAACGGCGGAAACGTTCGGGGGTGGAGGACGTCATGTAAGTATCACAACACATGCATTATAGTAATCAAAGTACAGCCAACCATTGCATTAATAAGTATAAGTTTTACATAAGTATTTTAAACATTTCAAATTCAAACATCAAAGTAGATACAGAAGACGACAGGAGTCGCAGTACGGTACTAGGCAGTCTTCTCAAAAGCTTCGGGGGTGTACCTGTCTACTAGAGCCCTGAGAATACAAGTAAGTTTTGAAACAGTATCAGCATAAAGCTGGTGAGTTCATAAGCATTTTGTTTTAGAAAGACGGTTCTCGGTTCTTTTGAAAAGTCCGGTTTATCCAGTTTATTGGGCTTTTTAATTCAATTTTTTTAGGACTTTATTGAAACTTTTGCCAAAATATAGGGACTTTACTGTAGTTATCCCTATAAATTATTCAAAAAAAAATATCACAAAATGTTTGATAATATCCCAGAATCCTCAAAAATATAATCTCAAACTGGTGTGTACAATCAAGTCGGTGCCTTCCCGCGATCCTGAGAGGTACCTGAAACACATATCACACAACACTGTAAGGACGAAGCTTAGTGAGTTCCCCAAAATACCATGCACAAATAATTAGCCTCTCATGGCTATATCTCGATAAGGACCCTCCGGTCATGTGTCTCAGTGAAGACCCTTCGATCTCACAACTCGGGTCTGTCACACCCCCAAACCTAAACGGCGGAAACGTTCGGGGGTAGAGGACGTCATGTAAGTATCACAACACATGCATTATAGTAATCAAAGTACAGCCAACCATTGCATTAATAAGTATAAGTTTTACATAAGTATTTTAAACATTTCAAATTCAAACATCAAAGTAGATACAGAAGACGACAGGAGTCGCAGTACGGTACTAGGCAGTCTTCTCAAAAGCTTCGGGGGTGTACCTGTCTACTAGAGCCCTGAGAATACAAGTAAGTTTTGAAACAGTATCAGCATAAAGCTGGTGAGTTCATAAGCATTTTGTTTTAGAAAGACGGTTCTCGGTTCTTTTGAAAAGTGCGATATCTTTCCCAGAAAACCATATACTATCTGGTGTAATAAATGTATAAACCTTAAGTAAAATGATTCTTTGATATCTGTTGAAAGTGTTCCTCAAGAAAATCCCATATTTTCTTATGAAAAGCATGATTAAACCCATTTCTTCTATGACTTCTTTGTTCATACTAGCCACGCATAAACCAATATCGAATAGACAATCAATTGTGTGGATCTGCCCAAAACCCACAACCAAACAAGGAACAGGGAATGAGGCGGAAACCACACATTTCACAGTCTATCGGGTATTCTTCATACGTAACCCGGATGCATAAACCCAGGAGTTATGGAAGAAATATGAATATTCGTTAGTTGATTAATAAACCATCTATTTATAAAATACTGATGTTTACCCTGGAAAATCCTACATTTCCCCTATGTGTAAGTTATTGGATTACCCGTTCTAAATCAGAAAGTTCAAGTATCTACCATACTTGTATTGTTTAGGCATTGTTCCTTTTGAAAACCCTGGCTACTCCCAGTGATGTATATTAGTCTTATTACATAAATAAAACTAATTGAAAACGTGGTGATCTGAATCCTGAAAGTATTG